GTAATGCCTTTCGGTCTGAAGAACACTGGGGCCACATACACCGAATGGTAGCCCGATTGTTCAAAAGGGTTGATGTGCGTATCTATGGCTGCCTACGTCGATGACATGCTCGTTAAGAGCAAGGATGAGATAGATCACGTGAAGGACCAGACGGATTGCTTCGAAATCATGAGGAAATTTAGATTGAGGTTGAATCTCAAGAAGTGTGCGTTCGCGGTCTGAGGAGGAAAGTTTCTGGGATATATGGTCACTTGCGTGGAATCGAGCCGAACCTAGAGAAAGGTGAGGGCTATTTTGGATATGCGGCCGCCCAGCAACCTCAAAGAAATGTAGCGATTGATAGGCTGAATGGCTGCCCTCAGCCGATTCTTTCTAAGTTCGCCGACAGGGCCCTTCCCCTCTTTGAAGTCATTTAGAGACAGAACGGGTTCCGGTGGACTAGAGAATGCTAGGTAGCCTTTGAGGACTTGAAGAAGTATCTCCTAGTTCCGCCACTCTTATCTAAGCCCAAGGCGAGAGAAACATTGTTGTTAGTACGGGAGGAGGAGAAGGCTCAACTGCCGGTCTATTACGTCGGGCAGACTTTGAAGGGGGCAGAGATCAATTATTCCCCCCTCGAGAAGGTAGCCTTCGCCCTCATCACAACGGTCAGGAAGTTGGTGCCTTACTTCCAAGGTCATACAGTCTGGGTGTTGACCGACCTCCCCCTAGCCAGCATGCTATGCAATCCAGCCTCGTCCAGACGATTGCTAAAGTGGGCGATGGAGCTCACCCAGTAAGGGATCGAATACGCCCCGCGGCCGTCTATCAAAGCTCAGGTTCTTGCCAACTTCATAGTGGAATGTTCCGCTTACCCGACGGAGGGCTAGCTGGTCGAAGGCCAGGAAGCAGCGGAATGAAGGGAAATACACACTGGCGACGCGACCAGCTCTAAGCATTGTGGGGGCGGGGTGATGATCACCACCCCCGAAGGATTTCGCCTATACTACGCCCTAAGGTACAACTTCCAAACTTCAAATAACGAGGCGGAATATGAGGAGGTCATAGGAGGGTTGCGATTAGTCATTGCCCTTCACGCTGCCCGGGTGCGCATAAGGACGGATTCCCGCCTGGTGGTTAACCAACTGAAGAATGAATGTGTGACCAGAGAAGAAAGACTGATACTCTATAAGGACGTGGCCGAGGGACTGATGGATAAACTGGAAGCCTATGAGATCACCCACATCCCACGAGCAGAAAATACGGAGGCAGATATCTTATCGAAGCTGGCTGCGGGAAGTGTGCCTCCCTACTTGTCAATGACTTGTCGCACCGAGATCATAGAACGACCCAGCACTGAGGTGCTCTCGTTTTGCACAGTTGTCCGGACACCTACTTTCCTGCCTAGACCAGAGGACGCCTCTGCTTGGCCATGGTTTGCGGACATGGTTAGGTACAAACAGAAATCAAAGTTGCCGGATAAGAGGGAAGACGTTGATCGCATCAGAAGGCGGGCTCCCTCCTATGAGTTGATGGACGGCCTGCTCTGCAAGCGGTCCTACGGAGGTCCCCTAATGCGTTGCTTATCCCCCGCGGACGCTAAGACTGTGATGGCTGCCGCTCACCGGGGAATCTGTGCGGCCCATCAGGGGGCCAATACTTTAGCCAGAAAACTTATCATTCAGGGCTATTACTGGCCGACCATGGTAAAAGATTGCATTGAAGAAGTGCTAAGATGCGTCGTGTGCCAATCGTTCGCTAAAAAGAGCACCCGATCGGCAACCTTCTATACACCGATCACCACCGTGATCCCCTTTGCCAAATGGGGCATCGATCTGTTAGGGCCACTCCCTCAGACGCCCGGACGAGTGCACTTCTTTATAGCGGTCGTTGATTATTTCACTAAGTGGGCAGAAGCAGAGCCTCTGGCGACTATCACCGAGTATCAGTGCCGCCGGTTTGTCTGGAAGAACATCATATGCAGATTTGGACTGCCCGAGCAATTAGTGACCGACAACGGACGACAATTCGATAACTGAGCCTTCGCAGCCTTCTGCGTGCAGAACGGCATCCGGCACATCAATGTATCTGTTGCCTACCCTCAGGCCAATGGCCAGATCGAAAATCTAAATCGTACCCTTCTAGATGGGCTGCGAAAGAAACTGGAAGAGCTGGGTGGCACATGGGTCGAACAATTGGAAAAAGTAGTGTGGGTCTACCGGACGACCCCACGCCGGGTAACGGCCGAAACTCCTTTTGTCTTGGCGTATGGGTTCGAGGCGAAGGTTCCGACCGAACTCTTGGTGCCCAGTCGGCGAGTCTTGTTGTACAATGAAGAAGGTAACGAGGAAACGTTGCAGATTGAAAAGAATCTCTTGGAGGAGAGACGGGATGTGGCTTATGCTTGGATGGTCGAGTACCAACAGGCCGTCAAGCGTTATCAAGACAAAAGAACCAAAGTCAGATATCTCTAGATAAGAGATCTCGTGCTAAGGGAAAGGACAGCCAGCCGACCCACTGAAGGAAGAAAGATGGCGGTTAAATGGGAAGTTCCTCGGGGGCTCGTAGGCAGCCAGCCTCGTCCACGAAGGGACTTGGCAGTTTTGCAAGTTCCTCGGGGGCTCGTAGGCAACCACCCTCGCCCACTGAGGGACTTGGTAGTTTTGGAAGTTTCTCGGGGGCTCGTAGGCAGCCAGCCTCGCCCACTGAGGGACTTGACAGTTTTAGAAGTTCTTCGGGGGCTCGTAGGGAGCCAGCCTCGCCCACTGAGGGACTTGGCAGTTTTGGAAGTTCCTTTGTGGCTCGTAGGCAGCCAACCTCGCCCACTGAGGGACTTGGCAGTTTTGGAAGTTCCTCGGGGGCTTATAGGCAGCTAGCCTCGCCCACTGAGGGGCTTGGCAGTTTTGGAAGTTCCTTGGGGGCTCGTAGGCAGCCAGCCTCGCCCACTGAGGGACTTGGCAGTTTTGGAAGTTCCTCGGGGGCTCGTAGGTAGTCAGCCTCGCCCACTGAGGGACTTGGCAGTTTTTGGAAGTTCCTCGGGGGCTCGTAGGCAGCCAGCCTCTCCCACTGAGGGATCGGACTTTGTAGTTTTGGAAGTTCCTCGGGGGCTCGTAGGCGACCAGCCTCGCCCACTAAGGGACTTGGCAGTTTTAGAGGATCCTCGGGGGCTCGTAGGCCGCTAGCATCGACCGTTGAGGGACTTAACAAATTCTCGAATGATTATTCGAGGTTGATGGACGGTCAACCGCACGCACACACAATAAACAGACAGGAAAATAAAGAAAGTAGTTGATGAACAAAAGCTCAGCGGGCAAGAGATGCATTCAAAAAGGGCCCCGAAGGGAAAGTTAGCATTTAGATAAAAGAAAAACGAAGGAAGAACGGGCGGCTACCCTACTCCAAGTTCACCCCTTCCGATGGTCCAGATGGGATGTTTTTTTTAGCAGACGGCGGCCCGCGCTAACGGCGTTCTAACGGCTCGGTCGCTTCGACCTCCTCCTCCTCATCCAAGTTAAGCGATGCGGGCCTTAGGTACCTTGCCAGAATGTTGGGATCATTGGCTAAGCCTGGTTGGCCGCCTCCTCCTCGAACCACCTAATGTTCCAGGACGGCTTCCCCGTGTTCATGTACGGTAGCAGGGTTCGAGTGGTGTTCGTACAACTTTTCCGAGAGCTCATAGCGGTAAGGCTCAAAGTTTGAGAAGCGCCGGAACAGGACTAAGTATATCTCCATTTGAATGTCCGCTATCCCAGCCTGGTAATCTTCAGCCCCTGCAGCATCCAAATAAGCCTGGCCAGCCACAGAAGCCAGCCACTCCATGGCGATCCCTTCGGCATTGGCCCTTGCCGCCACTATCACCACTCGACGGAACTCGGGAGACTGCTTAAAGGCAGCCAGAGCAGTCTCCTAGGCCTGGCTCAGGTCGGCTGCCAACTGGTCATTCCTCCTCTGATCTGCCTCCAAGGCAGAAGCTGCTTGTCCCAGCTTCAGGTTCAGATCATCTATCTGGGCGGCATGAGCGTCCTGGATGGCATGCAGATCCTTCCGCGCACCTTCTGGCAACGACGGAGGGCAAGCTGGCCCATCAAGGCCTGCCAAAAGGAGGGAGCGGTAAAAAAAAAAAAAAAAAAAAAAAAAAAAAAAGGGGGGGGGGGGGGGGGGGCATAAGGGGGAAAAGAAGACTGATAGAGAAGGGTAACGAAGATAGAAATACCTGGTAGCTGCAGTGGGCGATGCTGTCCAGCAGCTGGTCGGGGTCCCCACTCTCTACGGACTCCAGGTCCTTGGGGAAAATAACTTTGTCGAGCCACTCGCCGACCGAGTAGCAGCCCTTGTGGATAACCTCCGTCTCGTTAGCCTCAGGGCCGACCAATATCCTCTTCGCAGCCGGGGCCTCTACATGAGTCTCGTCGGGCCGTTTTACGCCAGCTCGGCAGGTAGGAGATGCAGCACTGGTCACCGGAGTGGCAGACCCCCCCCCCCCCCCCCCCGTCTAGTATCCGCGGCGGACCGAGCTGCAACCGAAGGGGAACCCCCAATCACTAGGGCTCCTGGGCTTCGCGTAGCCAACGGTTGGGCGGGGTTTGACGTCCCGGCCGAGTTCTTCCCCTTCTCGGCAGCTGTCAACCGGGCTCGGTCAGAGGCGCATAAGATAGAGCGGCGGTCAGCCATGGCCTCCTGTGGAACGACAACGGGCAACGGATCAACTACTTGAACCTCCTCTACTTCTTCCTCCTCTTCCTCGGATGACTGGTCCGTATCGTTGTTCCCTGCGGAATCAAAATAAAGAAGTCAGGCTGGATAAACCCACCAAGAAATACATCGCATGCTGAAAGTTGGAGGGACAAACCTGTCTGAGGCGTGCCATCTGGTAAAAGACCGACCCTCGACATGGCGGCCAGTACCGACCAGCGCCGGGCAGAGATCATCTCGCCCCGGGTGATCTGCTGAACAAGATCAACCAGGTTGACAGGGCAAGTTGGTCGCCCGTTAGAGCGAAAGCAGGACGACTGCCATTAGAAATGAAAATCGAAGGCCAGAAGATGGTCGGCCGGACGGACAAAGAAGAACTCCTTTTTTCCAACCTTTGTGGGAAGAGATCAGTTGGTCCTTGAACTTGCGATCGTCTTGGGCGCGGATCTGCACAGAGCTTGAGGAAACTTGGCCCACCGGCGTGAGCCGAAAAAGCTGCTAGAATAGAGGCAAGGTGGCCTCTACCCCGAGGCGATGACAATTTGTAAGGAAGGCGGTCAGCAGGCAGTAAGAGTTGGGTGCTGGTCGGGTGCTATCCCTTAATACTGAAGAAGAAGGACAAGGAAGGGCGGGAGGGGAACGCGAAAACCACAGCGGACGGACTGGTAATGGACACCCACATACCCGCTACCAAGAGGATTCGTTATTAGTTGATCACCTGGGCGGCGGGATACCGCCGCCGTGCCCAACAAACGTCGAGCATGCTGAAAATCCACCTCACGAAGGGAAGATTGTCGGCCAGCCCAAATCCTCGAAGGTGCCGGCCTCTCGGCCAATAGGAGGGTCGACCACGGCCACCGAGGACTGTCCCCCGGCTCTCACCAGAGCAGACGTGGTAGCCGGAGGATTGGTGGTCTACCTCTGGCGAAGGTCCTCGCCGGGGGCAGACGGGGAATATGAAGAGGTGGAAGAAGAAGATGAAAAAGAAGAAGAGGAGGAAGACGACATTGCAAGAGAACAGACAGAAGTATCAGAAAAGAAAGAGTCGAGGGCTAACCTGAAAGAAGTTGACAACTGGAGAACGGAACACAGAGATAAAGGATGTCAGCTGCCGGGGGGTTGAGCCCAAAAAGAAGAGGAAGTAAAAGCCGAAAAAAAACCTAAGGAGTGCGAAGGGAAGAAAGGAAGAGGAAAGAAGAGTATTTATAAGGATCGGCGGACAGCGAATTCAGTACACGTGTCCTAGATCGGACGGGCGGGACACGCTGACGTTACGTCTGAAGCGACGGTTACCAAGGGACACGTTTCGAAAGTCCAACCAGCGGAATCAGCGAAATAGCCATCATTACGCCTATAGCGATTGTACCGCTCCCAGAACCAGTCGGGAAAAACGGGACCAGTCAGGAATAGCGAGACTAGCCAGGGACTCGCCCGGGCGTTCGACAAAATCCAGACAGACTGAGAAGCCAGGCGGCTAAGACATTTTTGAGGAACTTGTGCTTTCTGTTATTTACTTTTTCAAGTTAACGACTCAGCTAAAACCTAAAAAAGTGAGGGACTGGTGATAGATACCCCAAATTAGCCGCCTGGGCGGAGGCTAGACAAAGGAGCCGAACTAGTAGTTAACCAGGAGAGAAAGAGGGAACCGCTATGATCCTCCCAGTCATGATACCAGACGCCCCCGGAGTCTACTATGCACTTGTCAGCAGCCAGCCTACCAGCCGGCGTGTCTACAAGCGGGTCCTAGAAGGCAATGCCGATGGGCAACCAGCCACGATGGTTGGTGTGTCCCTGATCCTGTGCCTTACGAGGTTGGGACGGGCGACCAGGTCACGCGGGCGGTGCGTCTCCCAGGCGCGCAAGACCTAGGGCCCGGACGGGCGACCAGGCTTGGCAGGAGGAAGGCCACCACTCAGAGGCTGAAGCCCAGGAAGTTATCCCCGGGCGGCCGGGATAACTCTTGGCTGGGTACACGCCCCAAAACGCGTACCAGCGGATTTTCTGGACGCAATCTTTGCTCAGTTAGGTAGTTTCCATAATTCGCCTAGACGAGAAATGTAGTATATCGACGACTGCATCAGCCTTAACGTCAGCCCTACTTACCCTTGACCTTGGCTAGACATCAGCCCTATTTACCATGTATAGATTATATATTCGTGTATAAATATCTCCATGGGATCTCCGTAGCGGGGACGGACCCTCTCTGTGGGCGGCATACTTTAAAGGGCAACACCCTAAAGAAATAACGACCGATTATTCTCTAAAATTATCTTTATTTTCTCGCTTTCTTTACATTCACAAATACAGTTATCTGGTAGTGTTGGCCTACCGGGCAGCTATCAACACTGTGAAACCAACAATAAATTTTTTTTAAATACATACATACATACACTTATGCACTATATTAATCATACAAAATTTAAATGCTACTTTTTAAATTTCTAAATGTAATTTTTAAAGTATAATTCTATCAATATAAATCTATACTATTATTATAAACAAAATCCTCCTTTCTTACTTTCTCGTCCAAACAATAAAAAAGGGATAAAAAAAATTATCAATTAATAATACTAATAATAATTAGTAAAAACCTTAGTAATAAAATAAAATAAATAAAAAAAATCCTTAATTGACAAAAAAATAGAAAAGGAAACGCAATCCACTGATTAATTAATACTAACAATAATCAGTATAAAAAAATTTGTAGTAAAATAGGAAAATAAAAAAGGATCCTTAATTCATTAAAAATGGAAATATAAACGGAATTTACTGATTATTACTAATAATAATCAGTAAAATAGGAAAAAAAAGAGTTAATTCAATGAAAATGGAAAAAAAAAAAAAAAAAAAAACAAACAGAAGGTTGTGAAAAAAAAGGGGGTCATAATAACGATATTAGTAAAAAAAGAAAATCCTATCAAAAATTAGAAAGAAAAAAAAATTCTTAATTCACGAGAAATAGAAAAGGAAACGAAATTCACCGATTAATTAATACTAATAAGAATCAGTAAAAAAGTTAGCAGTAAAATAGGAAAATAAAAAAGTATCATTAATTCACTAAAAATGAAAAAAAAAAAGAAACGGAATTCAATAATAATCATTAAAATTGGAAAATAAAAAAGGATTATTAATTCAATGAAAATGACAAAAGAAAACGAAAGGTTGTTAAAAAAATGTCATAAAAAGGATAACAGTAAAAAAATAAATAAATAAAACCTACCAAAAAATTTGAAAAAAAAAATCATTATTTTATAAAAAATAGAAAAAGAAACGGAATTCACTTATTCATTAATACTAATAATAATCAGTAAAATTAAAAGTTAGCAGTAAAATAGAAAAATAAAAAAAAATCCTTAATTCACTAAAAATGGTTAAAGTGTCATAACGCACCATGAACCAATTATTCATGCCGCACCATGATCCATAATAAGTGATATTTAGACCTTAAACCATAAATTTTTTTTCATCTAGAACTTTTTCTGGGTTTCCTACAAGTTACCAGTAATAATATTGCTGACCTGGAAATTTTTATTAGTTTTTTTTTTTTTTTTTGATATTTTTCTTCTTTCGCCTTCGTATTATAATTTTTTTCGTATTTTTTTTCCTAAATGTAAAGGCATGCTCTGCGTTCTTCACTTCTCATTTCTCTGATACCAAACTCCGTAGAGCAGGCCTATACAGAGTAGGTCTGATCGGAGAAACGGGAAGCCAAAAATGCAGAGCAGGACTTTACGTTTAGGAAAAAAATATGAAGAAAAAAAATATGAAGGCGAAAGAAGAAAAATACCAAAAAAATAAATAAATAAAAAATTCCATGTTAGCAATAAAAAGTTCCAGACGAAAAAAAAAAAAATTATGGTTTATGGTTCTAAATATCACTTATTAAAGATCATGATGCGACATGAATAATCAGGAATGGGTTCATGGTGCAGGATGACAATTTAGTCTAATCTATACTATATATAAAAACAAAAACCTGAGCTTTAACTTCCCGCCCAATTCCTAAAAAATCTCTCTTTCTCATCAGACACATCGGCCAAAAACCCCCCAAATAATACGGTTGTCCGGTGACAGGCCTCTAATGCCATCATCAAACCAGTTGTCAAAGGTCATTCCTGGATCATTTTTGAGCCCCGGGAGGATAGCATGCCAAATCTGTTTCGCTTCCGGCCAGAAACGGAGTATGTGCTCTGTTGTTTCCTCACTATCACCGCAAGCTGAGCACGCTGAGGAGTCTGTAAGGCCACGTTTTTTCCTGTTGACATTTGTCATGATGCAATTGTGCCTACCCATCCAAAGAAAGGTGTAAGTTTTACTAGGAATATTGAGTTTCCAGATGCTGCTCCAAACTGGATTAGTGGTAGGCGAACTACAATATGAACTTAACTCGTAGGCAGCTTTTGTTGAGAACCTATGACACTATAACAATCGAATTGAAAGTTTTCGCTTATTATTAAAATTCAGAATCCAATATTTGAATTTCAGTTTATTAAAATTATGAATTGAAAAAACTGGATCCTAGACCGTGAACCGGCGATTCCAAATCCGGTTCACGATTTTGAACCGTCTTTATTTTAAAATTTTATTTTTATTTTAAAATAGTCTAAATCCTCTATTTATATATATATATATATATATATATATATATATATATATATATATATAAAAGTAAAATCCTCCTATAAAAACAAGTTATCAAGTTCGATTCCAGATTGGTAATATACTGGAGACCAGTGGAGTTGGTGTGGAATTAGATGAAGATTTGGGTGAGGTATTGTAGATGTGTAGTCTGGTTTGTTGTTTAACTATAATAAATAAATTAGCACTAAATATTACAGTAAACATTTGTATGATAATCTCTTTTTTATTAACAATTTTTCCGTTTTAAAAAAAATAGTTATTCCAGTTCGAAGATAAAGCAGAACGTCCAATTGCTATCAATACTTCTACTCTGGAACACACATATAACGAAAGCGGCCCTGTCAAGAGATTCCTATTGGACGAATTCTCATCTACCTGCAAAATCATGTAATGTGATTGTTTCTATTACTTTACTCTCTCTGTATATTTTTTTCACCATCCTGCCTTCAAAAGAAGCTACGTGAAGCAAACTATTAAATCTTTCAACTCATGTTAACTGTACTAACTAATAAAGAAATGGGAATTGATATGATGAGTAGATAGAACTTGAAAATGTACTGTACTGTAGGCATGTGATTTTTAAAAAACAAACTTAGTTTGATTTCAACATATAAATAAATAAACATAGGATTTTTTAAAGAACAAACTTAGTTTTGTCGTCATTTTCCAGCCCAAACTTTGACAGCACGTTTGGTTCATGGAATGAATTTTGAGGTAATAGGAATGTTATTCCATAAGGAATGGAATAGGCAAGGAATAGAATAGGAATTGTATTCTATTGTTTGGTTTGCGGAAGGAATAGACTTTAGGAATTATATTAAAGTGTTTGGTTAATTTAAGGAATAGAAATGAAATATGTTTTAAAAGACATAAATACCCTTATAAAAATATGTGATGGTGGTGATGGTGGCGGCAGTGGTGGCGATGGTGGTGGTGGCGGTGGCAGTGGTGGTGGCGGTGGCGATGGTGGGGTTGTGGTCCTGGTGGTGGTGGCGGTGGTGGTGGTGGCGGCGGTGTTGTGGTTGTAACACCCCGTGTTACGACCTCTAACCCAGACTAATTATTTAATTGCTTGCCATTAAAAGAGGTTTAAATTCCCTTAATTAATTAAGAAGGGTCCAACATGGATCATGGACCCTTATCTCTAAACCAAAACCTTAGCCCTATAAGGAATAGAATAAGTGAATCTTTACCTTTCAGACCTTAGTTAGGACTCTTAAATATACATAAGGACATAGGAGGCACCTAGAAATTCCACCACAATAGATTCCACCACACAAGAATTCCCAGGAATTCCCCTATCACCAAACGTAGGAGAAATCACGAGGAGGAGATCTTAGAGAAAGAACCTTAGTAGCCAAGGATTCTAATTAAGGCTAAGAGGTAACCCATGTCTCAACAAAACCTATTTTCCTTGCTATAATCTTCTTCATTGGCTCCTTTGATATATGATTCCGTGCTCGAGTCTTGATAAAGCTTTGC